GAAAAAAAGTTTTGATAGCATATAAGAAAATATGTAACTAAATTGTACTATGGGGGCCAATAATTTTTCCCCCTCGTTATTTTTTTCATGTTTTGTCTATTATGGGGACCAATTAATTTCCCCTTCGCTATTTTTTTCTTGTTTTGTCTATATTTCTTTTATTTATTAATCTATTAACTGCAGTAAGGAAGTAGGAGTTGTAGTGCATCTTGTGACACACTGTTTCAGTAGCCCGTGCACATACTGTAATTGACTACATCGTCTGTTCAGTCTTTTTTCTCTTCATTCTTCGTTCATATGTTCACATCCATGTGCTAACGTGTATATATATGGGATACATAACGACTGATTCAAATGAAATCAACAAAATAAATTCATCATCCATTGCATTTAAAATTTTGTTTGTTTTGAAGTTTTCTTTTAATCTTTAATAAGTATATTTATGATTACTCATAAGTATTATCAATACACACCCCAGTTCAAGCACAACGTCCTTGAAGAATATCGTCCTGGAGTTATTGGTTGTGGTTTTAAATCATTAGCCAAACGGTTTAAAGTTAAAGGTGGTCACAAGCTGATCATGGGTTGGTACAAACGATGGGATGGTACTATTGGTTCATTAAATCCGAAACCAAAACGTGGTCGACCACGTACAATGACACTGCAAGAAGTTAAACAATACATTTTAGAATTTGTTGAATATATGAATCGTAAACGCGCACAAATTAATTACAACTCAGTGCAAGCACATATTGAATCTCAATTAAATAGAAAAGTACCAATACGTACCATTCGACGATATGGAAAATCATGTGGTTTAAAATGGCGGAAAACTCCTTAGATGACAGCACGCGATGGTTTGGATATACACGAATAACAATCAGTTCATCATCTTATTAATGTATCATTTTTATATGTTTTAGCTGATGATGATTATTGGACCGCAATTAGCGAATTCCGAAAATTATTACGAGAAATAAATAAAGATCAGTTAATTTTTATTGATGAAGTAGCAATCTACTCCACCATGGTTCCACGACGAACTCTCGTTGCTTCTGGTCAACAACCGTTGATATTAGTACAAGAACCTTCAGCATATGCTAAAAGGTTCGATTTTATTGCAGCTATTAATGGTTCACAACCAATTGCATGTGGAACATTTACTTCTGAACAACGTGTTAGTCTTCGGGTTAAAGGTTTTAGACAAAAAGTGATCAATCAATGGATAACTGATGTATTAGCACCAGTAATCAATCAATTAGGTATTAAGGACTTATATTTAATTTGCGATAAAAGTTCCAGCCATAATCGAGTCAGTATGATGCAAGCATTACGAGCTGGCAAATGTTATCGTGTTAAAAATATTCTTCATATGCCAACGGGAAGTGCCAAATATATATCACCATTAGATAATCCACTCTGGCATTCTTTTAAAGAAACCATTCGAAATAAACATCCATTAATTTTGTTCGATATACCTGCTGTATTATCCCAAACATTCTATTCTTTATCAAGATCCCAAGTGAGCAAAAAATAAAAGAAGACGCCCGACATGACTAGTCCAAAGTGTCCACAGCACCCGTCAAGTCTAGTCTGAAACGTCTTGCACACCCGTCATGACTAGTCACCTTTTGGAGAAATGTCCTTCAAACTCGTCTGGACTAGTTCAGAGTGTCCTTGAATCGAGTCATGTCTAGTCCGTTTTGTCCGTTGACCCCGTCCAGACTAGTAGGAGAGCTAAAAAATGAAGATGCAAGGTGGATTCGAACATTCAACCCGAGAGTATTCGAAACCTGACGGGCATCCTGACGGGAGACTAGGACACTGAAATGAACTGACGTCCGTTTATACAGTCTAAAATACAAAATTCATTCCCGTTCATCCAGTAAACAATCAGAAACCAGTCGATGTCATACGACTTTGACTAGTCTGAAACGTCTTCAATAGAAGTCAGAACTAGACCGAAGCGTCGTCTTCACTCGTCACGACTGGTCCTTTTTTAAAGAGTGTGTCACCCATCGTAGTCCAGGCTAGTCTGAAAGACTCTAAACAAGCCACTTTTTTTGGACGAAATATATCCTCTTAATTCGTTTAAACTGATCAATAATGAAAAGTAAAAGAAGTAGAATGCACGTAGAAAAAATTTTCAATATGAGTATCATTTGTTAAAAATAACCATTGGATAATCAAATGCATTTAGAACGTGGATTAGATTGGAGAATAACAATCATTTTATTGCCTGTCTTGTACTCAAATCTTCGTAAATTGAGGATTAAGATTGATCTGTTATATTATGATTACGGAAAT